TTTGGCTCAAGGCTTTGGCGATTCCAGTTCAAGACTAAGCAGACCCATTGCTTTGTGTCTGTGTAGCAGTGATGAGAATGCGTGGCTGAAAACATTCACTGCATGGCTGGGGAGTAAAAACAGACAGAAGGAGGATGTGTGGGGTCTCACAGCTCCCTTAAAAGTGTGACCCTAGTTACCCAGGGTCACAGGGTACAAGTGTGTACCACCACACCTGGCGTGGACACTTGTGTTTTAACACATGGAACTTTAGAGAGAAATTCAATACTAAATTATGGCAAGCAGCCATTAAAATAAGACATGTTTATGAACGAGCTACCAATTTAATGAAATTGATGAACCTTGAAAATATAAGGTGAAAAAAGTTAGATACACAGGATCACATATAAGAAGTATGATTCCACTAACTTGAGATGTTCAGGAGAAGCAAATCCAGAGACAATTTGAGTGCTGGTCTCCAGGAGATGAGATGGGGGAGCAAGGAGTGACTGATAACGGTGCAGAGCTGCTTTTCGGGATGATGGCCATGTTCTGGAATTAGGTCATGGTGATGGCTGCAGAATATTGTGAATATACTAAAAGTCACTCAAGACTTGCTCTTCTTTAGAATTGATTACATCAGTGAAGTTTGTTACATGATTTTATCTCAATTTATAAAAAAAGAATGCAAAGCTTAAAAGAGCAACATGAACAAATAATTTACTACTTAGATGTAGAATAGACAGATATAACGTGTTGTAAAAATACAGCAAAAACATCTGAGTGTTTTTTGCACTAAGGTATTTTACATGCTTCTTAAATACCCTGGCCCACTTCAAATACAAGCAAGCAACATGAGCATGGTTTAGCCAAAAAGTACAACACAGAACTCAATATCCAAAGATTGGTGAATGCATTTATACTTATTTATGTGACTAGTGGGGATATAAAATTTTTGAAGTATATTGTGTCAATTTTTTGAGTCTGTTCCTAGTGACTTTTAATTGCTGCTGTTGAGAAACCCCCCCCCCCATTAAGTGTTTCAGTTTCTGAGCGCTCCTAACATGTCTTGAAAATAGATTATCTTTTTACTGGGATAAAATTCTTATTTATGAGCCTCTTATAAATATGGAATTAATGATTTAAGATTATACTTTTCGAGTTTCTAAATCATCATAAAAATTAGCCATCCTTTCCCCCCAAGCTCTGTGTTGTGACTGCTTCATTCATGTATCTTACTGGAGTAGCTAAATAAAATGTTAGCTATACTAAAACTTTAAATTCATCATCCAGAACATTTATAGACTATAATTTTTCAAAATACTCCTGAGAACAATTCATCATTTTATGGTTTATTTGACATATTACAAACTAAGACCATAATTACTTATTTGAGGGGCAGCTAGTATTATTTTTGTAACTCTGCTATGTTTGATGAAATACTTTCCATGAAAATGAGCTCATATTTATCTATTGAAACCAGCTGTATTTCCTGAAATAGCAATTTCAGCTCTCTGAATCTGTTACTGCAAAACAACCATATGATGACCCATGAAAGAACAATCCAAGAAACAAAAATGGGTACTCACATCAAGTAAAATCTCCTCTGAGGAAAAAAGTTGCTTCTTCAGTCTGATATGGGTCAGTGAGAGAACAACAAAACTATATTAATTTTCATAATTAGGTTATTATGTATAGGATTAATTGAAGTTCACAGGTATAACTGATATCAAAAAGATATGGGTTGTTCAGAATGATACCCGACAATTTTATAGCAATAAATCAATCAATTCAGGACTTTTTATCAATGGTTCTCAACATTGGCTACACATTAAAATCATCCAAGGAAGAAAAAAAAGAATACTAATACCAAGGTCTTATGCTAAAACATTCCATTTCACCAGCTACTTGAAAACATGAATTTGAGCCCAACCTGGTCACCTGAGTGACTCAGAGAGTTCTTGTCACAAAATGAAAAATAAAAAAGGCTGATGATACATCTCAGTGTAAAGTCTGTGGGTTCAGTTCCCCCGCATTGTGGTAGATACTGGAAAGAAAAGAAAAAGAAAAAAGAAAATTAAAGAAAAGATCTAATTCAGTAGGTCTGGGATAGGGTTAGGGCATCTATTATTTTTAAAGTTCCTTTGTAAAGTATATATGAAGCCAGGTTTAAGAACTATAAATTTATAAAACACTCCATAAGTTTGGACGCATTTAGAAAACAATGTTGAAGCGAATATTTGTAATAGTATCTTTTTAATGTGTTTGCTGAGAATAATTTAATCATCCCTTCCTCCTCTTCATTTTTATATTTTGTTTATTTTGGGTTTGATTTGTTTTTTTAGGTATTTGTCTATACAGTACTCATTTAGTGTATGGAAAGTTTTCTCCAATGGTTGAATGAAGTTTCACTGATTTTATTCCCTATAAAGTTCATTAAGCTTTTTGTATGTCAGAACAATCAAAGCAACCGTATTAATTAATCTGCTTTGTATAGCAATAACAAAATACCTGGAAATAAGTACTTTGTAAAAAGAAGAGTTTTTTATAATTTTAAAACAAAGCAAAAAAAAAGACAGAAAACAATGGTCCAGGATTTCAAATCAACATAGGAGAAGATTAACAGTGGTTACTATATTGTGTATTGTTATCTTCAAAATAGATGCTCAGATTACAAGATACAGGAATAAAAAATGATTGACCAATGAAAGCACAAACCATTCTTTTGAAGAACTAACAGGGATTAGTGCTATGATTATCTTGCATATATAATCTATTCCCTTCTTTCTTTTCTCTTTCCCCCCATCCCAGTTGTTCTTTCCTTTTGAGTAATTTCTTCCTCTTTCACTTTCACAAAATCTATTACACATTTTGGGTCTTATTTATTCTTTCAATTTTTTACACTAAGGAGACTATGATGTTTACACATGTGAGTCTGATTTATTTCACTTACGAGTAGTGTCTCAAGTTGCATCCATTTATCTACAGAAGCCTTGAGCTTGTCCTTCATAGCTGAGTAGAGCTCCATTATATAAAAAGATCATACTTTTTAATCCATTCATCAATTGATGCATAAAAGGTTGTTTTCAGGATTAAGATATTACTAAATGTGCTGCTATAAACGTAGATGTGCAAATATAGCTGTAGTATGATGTTTTTAATTCTTGAGGGAAGATGCCCAGAAAGAGAATAGCTGGATTGAATGGGACCTCCAATCCTAGTTTTTTGAGTAATTTCCAAAGTAATTTTTATAATGCTTGCACAAGTCTACACTCCCACCAGTAGTGGAGAAAGTTTCCTCTCCCCCTCCCCCCGCCCCTCGAGCATTTGTTATTGGTTGATTTCTTGATGAGAGCCATTCTTTTTTTTTTTTAATTTTATTTAAAAGGAAAAAGAGAAAAACACAAAATATAACAAAGTGGTGTAAGGATATACATAATACAGAACTACAAAAAACAACAACAACAAAAACAACAAAAAACCAGTAAGAAATCACCTGTTAATAGATTACATATTATCATCTTAGAAATAGTTGCTCAAATCACAGTATCGAAGAATACAAAGTGGACATTCAAACAGAGAGACTGCAAACAGCTGTGTTCAATGATCCAAAAACATTACTATAGGCAGCTATTTAACACCCCTAAACACATTTGCTGTTATATCCGTTAGAGCTCTTTTTTTTTTCCCCTCTCTTTTTTACAACAAAATTTAAACATTTTGGATTTTATTACTCCTTAGTTCTTATTACTTTTTGGGGGGGGGAGAGAATAAAGTCAAATATGGTAAAACAAAGCTGTCAGTCAAAACCAAGGATAGACATAGCACATGATGTAAAACAGAGTACAAGGTTATCAACAGTGGTTATCAACAATGTGTCCTGTTTCCTTAAAAAGAATTGTCTATCTCACTAGATATTATAAAGTTGAACAAAACAGTAGAGAACAAGACCAATAAAACTTAGGCATTGTAAACATTACAGGGCTTCCAAAGGAGACAATAGTCAAGCCAGAATGGGCTTCTTAGTGAATCTTATTGCCTTCAAAGTAGTTGCCTATACCCGATGAGAGCCATTCTTTCTGGAGTGAAATGGAATGTCTGTTGTTTTCATTTGCATTGCTCGAATGATCCGTGATGGTGAATATTTTTTCATATATTTATTTGCCATTTGTATTTCTTTATCTGAGAAGTGCATATTCATCTCAGCTGCCCATTTTTGGATTGGATCTTTGAATTTGAGGCGTCTGATTTTTTTCAATTCTTTATATGTTCTGGATATTGTCTGAGGGACAGTTGGCTAAAATGTTTTTCCCATTCTGTGGGTTGTCTTTTCACTCTGCTGGTGATTTCTTTTGATGTGCAAATTGTTTTAATTAGATGAGATCCCAGGTGCTGATTCTTTGAAACACTTCCCATGCAGTTTGAGTTTTGTTCATGATCTCTCTGCCTGCCCCATGTCTTAAAGATTTCTACCTCCCTTTTCTTCCAGTAGATTTAGTGTTTCTGTTTTAATATTTAGGTATTTGATCCATTTTGACTTTATTTTAGTGCACGGTGATAGACACGGGTCTAGTTTTAGTCTTTGGTATGCGGAAAGCCAGTTTTACCAGCACCACTTATTAAAGAGGCTGTCTTTCTTTCATATTTTGCCCCTTTGTAAAAGAGAAGATGACTGAATGTTTGTAGTTGTGTCTGCTTGTTCTACTCTGTCCCACTGATCCTCAGGTCTGTTTTTTGCCACTATCATACTGATTTTTTTTGTTTGTTTGTTTGTTTTTCCTTTTTATCCCGACCAGGGATCGAACTCACGACTGCCTGCTTGCAAGGCAGGCACTTATGCCACTGAGCTAAATCCCCAACCCCTTATCATATTGATTTTTATCATTGTACCTTTGTAATACAATTTCAAGTCAGGGGGGCTGGGGATTTAGCTCAACGGCATAAGTGCCTGACTTGCAAGCAGGCAGTCGTGAGTTCAATCCCTGGTCGGGATAAAAAGGAAAAAGACAAAAAAAAAAAAAAAAAACCACAAAAAATTTCAAGTCAGGGTTGGTGATGCCCCTTGCCTCGCCTTTGTTGCCCAACATTGCCTTTTCTATTATAGGTCTTCTGTTTCCAAATAAATTTTAGGAATGTTTTCTCTAGATCTGTGAGATATGTTAAAGATATTTCAATTGGGATTGCATTAAATCTGTATAACTTTTGCGAGCGTGGCCATTTTCACAATGCTGGTTCTTCCTATCCTTGAGCAAGGAATATCTTTTCATTTTCTGATATCTAAGAGGAGAGATTTATTTATCTCACAGATTTGGAAACTAAATGGTCAAGATCAGGCAGCAGCATGTGTTCGGCCTCTGGTAAGCCACCCCCTCCCCACTGGGGGTTCCACTGAATCTTAGTTGATGGCCTCATGGTGGGAGCCTAGACAGGAGTGAGAGCGCTTATGGAGAGACTGCTAGAGAAAGATTCAGAGGTCTTCTTTGACAACAAAGGGTTTCCTTGCCCCTGGGACTCACTCTGGTGGAGAAAATGTGAGGAAGTGATTGACATAGAACCTAAAAAAGATTGACTACTAGTAGTGGGCTACTTAGAACTGAATTTACATTTGATATTTTTTCTTATTTTATTTTTAATACTGACAAACATTCTTAGTGTTGTCAACTAACTTTCCCAAGGCATGTTTTATTTATTAGTTTTTGTATTAAAAAGTGGCATCTTTGTGGATGTTAATTGGTACTTTTTGAACCGTGTTTTTGCAAATTTATGGGTGTTTCAAGGAGCCCTTTCAGAGCTATTTCAGTATGTGGGGGCAACGAGTAGAGAGAGAGGAGGTGTCCACTCTCCAGGTTAGGGCTTTTTACTGTTGGTCCCTATGCAATGTGAGCATGTCTGCTATTCTTGATTTTGCATGTTGGTTTCCAAGTAAGACTTAATCTGAATGAAGGATTTCTTGGTTAAAATAAGTTTGTCATATGTGGCCACATGTTTTTTAAGTTTCTCCTCTTCTCCTGCTGAGTCTGGTTTATGTCTTTGCAACTGCTAATGGTTTCTAGCTACTGTGGTGTATCTGTGCTGAAAAAGCACAGGGAACTTTGGCCTTATTAGCTCTATAATTTGGTACTTGTGGGGAGAACAAGCCAAGTGAGCGGGGAGATGTTGGAAGCAAGAAATATAGATTGAGAATAAGCAGAGACTCAAGTTATACATCTTCTGTAGAAGGTTTACAGAGAGAGGCAAACTGGGTCCAAGAGAAAATTCTGGGGAACAGATATGCTGGGTCAGTTACGCTGCTCTGTATTCACCTTGACACAATGTATTGCTAGCTAGTCAGTGAGGTTCACTTTCCATATTTTAATTGTGTATTTTCCCATATGAGCTTGTGCACCGTGAGAAGAGTTGGAGCACAAGTGTTCGTGGGTGAGACAGGTGGCGGCTGGGGTTAGGGCAAAGTGTAGAGGGGCTTAGTAGACTGTCCATCCTGCATATATCTTTAGAGTCTCTTCTATATGCATATTGAGAGTATAAAGTTTAATGAGTACCTAGTGAATTTAGCAATTCAGGCAGCTATTATAATTTTTTAACATAAAATGATTTATGAAGAAATACTGTGGTTTCTGGATTTTCAAAATCCAGACCCTAATCTGGTGTCTCAGTTCTCCCTTGTGGAGGTGGAACGGAGTCTGCTGGTCCTGGCTGTGTCATCCTGAGTGCCTGGGGCTAAGTTTCCTTTCCACCTGGACCTATCACCTACTGAATTTTGCTGATCCAGTCCACACCCTCAGTGCTAACCAACTGTTTGCCAGTTTAAGTCATGCAGATCACAGGCAACAATTTATTAACTTAATTTAAAAACTCATTAACACTCTCAGAAAAAGCCAAAGTTCTCAGATAAAGAATAAATAAATGCACATAAATAAAGTGCCTATTTGCAGTATTTCCCTTGTAGGTAGGGCGTTACTTAATAGTTGCTTAGTAGTCAGTGATTAAGTCCTCCACATTTAAAAATTTTTTTTATTTCTTTAGACTTATTTCTCTATCTTCTCCACTCAAAAACAGGACATAAAGGTCAGACAACCTCATCTTCTAATTTTATTAAAGATGATAGTTTCACTAAAATTACAAATGATGCTGAGTAGCAGATGATCACAGATTTTCCTCTCACACTTTTCCTGGCATATTCTGCTTTCTTTCTAAAATCTTAATTGACTTAGTTGGCTGTAAGTACAGGCTGTATTAAGGTAATGTGCCAGCTTACTTTTAATGGTTTTAAGCAGAAGATGAAAGATTAGATTAGATGAAAATGGACTTATTGACCTGTAAAACTTCTAATAAAAAATGCCTTGGTTAAAAAATGGTAACAAGGGGCTGGAGATTTAGCTCAGCGGCATAAGTGCCTGCCTTGCAAGCAGGCAGTCATGAGTTCGATCCCCGGTACGGATAAAAAGGAAAAAGAAAAAAAAAAATGGTAACAAAACTCAATGAATTTATCTCTGCACCAAGCAAATGTTTACAGAGAGTCCTCACTGTCTCCTTACTTAGAGGCTTTTCACCTCGCAGGGAGGACATATTTGTGTACAAAAATCACTACAGTAATGGGAGACCCCTAAGTGAGTACTTGTGAAACGAGTTCAGATACAGAGATATTTATGGCTCGTATGGCTGCCTAGGTTTGTTAAACCACTAAAGACATGTGGCGATTCATAATGACATTCTGGGTAGTGGGTGTAAGATGTACAAAGGCACTGAGGTGGAGCGATGCATTGTGGTTGAAAGTACTCCTGGTTCTCCGTGGTGGTGCCACAGAGCTGACAGGAGGGGATGTAGCAGAGATCCGGCATAGGCAGGATGGCAAACCATTTAGAGACCAAGTGCCCCCATTGCAACCTTAACCCCATTTATTTATTGCACAGTGCTGGTGATGCAATTAAACCTAAATGTTGAGATTTTTAACTAAGAAAAAGCAACCCTATATTAACATCTTTTGTTTTAAAAGAAAAATACAATTATAAAGCTTTCAGTCATACAAACAACTTTTTATTGAAAGGAAAAAGTCTGCATTTGGCCTGCTTTTGCACAATTAGTGTGATCTTTGCTGTTGTATGCCTGCTAATAATTGTCAAACCTCAGCTCACACTTTTGTTAGTTTGAGAGCAATACATGCAGCACTCAGGTCATCTGTTAGTCTGTGTCTTTGATCAGATTTGATATAATTTAGAGCTGAAAACAGCTGCCCACAAGCATAGGACAACCGAAACAAAGTGAGAAAAGCAATGCCAAGTGTTTTCACTGATTTAAAATTACTTGGCAGAGGATTCCATGCTTTAAGGATTTCACTTTCAGAACGGCCAATTACGTTCTCCTTTGTTTTCCATTCACACTCTGTCTTCTCCTGTGCTGCATGCAGGTCATAGAACTTGTTTCTCCAGGTAGAGCTCTCTTGAAATTCCAATGGCTCCCTTTTCAGATTTCCAAAATCTACCCTGTATAGGCAGGAATGTTCAAGTTCTCAAAATTTGATTTTATCTGGAAAAATCAGAAAACAGAGTTGTCTCCATTTTGTGGAACTATAAAAATCTGTTACTAAAATTTTTCTTTGTGATTGCTACAATACTAGAAAATTCTTTGTAGGTTTCCTGATGACTTGTGGGATTGTCCACAAATGTTGTAGAATATTCTAAATGCATTTTAGGATTTAGAAAAATATTTCAACTACCCGCTTTAAGTTTCGGGGTGACTTGGTTTGTGTGCTAACAGAAAGAGCTCTGCATGCTTACTGTAGCACACGTGCCATAGCTTTGCCACCACTGGGCTAGAGCATTTAGCTTCTTGTGCATTTTGCAAGGGACTTTCATTTTTGCTTTGGTAACTTTGGGTGAAGAGTTGGGTGTCAATGGGGTTTGATGATAAAATTAGCTTTTATTCCAAACAACCTGGAATGAAGCTTGACGAAAGGCTCCAGAGGGCAACTAGTGAAGTGATACAGTTGGGAAATATGGTTAATAGATTATAGTAAGACTGGTTTTTATATTTGTATTCTTGGTGCTGGGTGCCCAGTTATGGCAGGTGGTAGAGATTTCTGGCAGGAAGTTTGATGTTCTGGGTAAGAAAGTCACAATATGAACACGAACTGCTAGTGGGGTCACTTGAAATCACATGTCTGGATATAATTATATAGGGGAGAGTGAAAGAGTTATACAGTGTGTCAAAGAAATAACAGGAGAATGTGACAGAACTTTGCTCGGGGCATATCTTGGTCATCGCACCTTTGGTTTTTACACCGTAATTATGCAGCTGTGGGTTGGCCTTTTTCCTGGGGCCAACTGTGAAGTCAGGAACTGTCTTATTCATGTCAGCATCACTGTACAAATTCTGAGCACTGTTCTAAGTCCATGTCATGTCTGTCATAGTGTACAAATGGTGCATGCAAGTCATAGAATTTGTCATGACATTTGAGTGGCACTTCAACTATTCCTGTTTAATTGACCCCAGCAGCCAGCATGGAACTTACTATAATTTCAATATGGTTTGCTTCCTCAGCAGCACGTGCTGAAATTTAATCCCCATTATGATATCTAAAGAGGTGGGAACATACGAGAGTGTTGGGGTGACTTGGACTCTCCCTTCATGAATAGATTAATCTCTTCAAGCAATTAATAAGTTAACAACTGAATGGTTATCTTAAGAGTTGATCTCCTAAAAGCAGCCTTTTGAGTGGGTCTCTTCCATGTTTCCTGTCTCCTACCACACAATGCTCTGTACTCTCAGAACTCCTAACTAGAAGGCCATTGCTAGATGTAGCCCCTTGAGGTTGAGCTGGAACTGTGAATCCAAATAAACCTGCTTTCTTTATAACTTATTCAGTGTTACTAGCAACAGAAAATTAACTTAGACAGTATCTGCAATGTGGTGTTTGTCAAAAAAATGACACCATATATCCTGAATGGGCAGATAAAGAGTCTAGCACAAGAAATTAAGGAGCAGGGTTTTGCAGGGAAGAAGGATAAATAGGAGAGACTTCCGTCATGGAAATTGTCCCCAAATCATGAAAGACAGAGGTGAACAGTGCTACAAGATGGCCAAGCAATGAAGGATGGCAGAGTAACTGCTGGAAATGAGGTGCCAAAAACCAGACTGGGTAGTTTGTGAGGGAGACAGAGGCCAGACTGCGTTCCACTACAGTGCAAGGGAGAAGAGGGTGATGAGAGAGTGTAGACAGGTCCTTAGGAGGTGGAATCTGTCAGAAGAAGGTAACTGGTTATACCCGGGAAGGATGATGAAACCCTGGGGACTTTTCCTCCGGGTTCTTTTCCTTCTGTTCCCATCTCATGTCCCTCCCATTCTCCCTCTGCTTTAAGGAAACATTTGAAGAAGTGTACAGGCTAAGGAGAGCCCTTGAAAAAGTCTTATTCAAGATGTAGAAAAGAGTAGTGCACACTTGTAATCTGAGTACTCTTGGGAGGCTGAGGCATGAAAATTACAAATTCAAGCCCGCTTTGGGTAACAGTGTTTTAGCAAGACCCACATCCAGATGTGGAGTTCTGTCTCAGAATAAGAAAAATAAAAATAAAAATAAAAAGGGCTAGGAATACAGCTCAGTATGAAAGGCTTAAGTTCAATTCTCAATACTCTGAAAACAAAAAAGAAAGGAAGACGTCGTAATTGAAGAGAGAACTTATTTTATAATATTTTATAAAGCCTTGAGACAGGAGAAAAGAGGTAAGGATGGGTATGAAGGTGAGTAAATGAGACGAATAAGAGGAAGGAAAGGAAATGGAAGAAAATCTCAAAGAACTCAAGTCTCTCTACAAAATACTAACTAACACGTTTTGACCACTTTCTATGTTCTGAGCATTCTTAAAATTATTTTACATGTGTAACTCACTACATTCCTGTGACAACCCTGTAAAGAAAAAATTACTATCCTAGTGAAAAACTGAAATGACTGAAACACAGAGAGGTTAAGCAGTTCTCCTGAAGCGAACAGCTACTAAGTGGTAGAATCAGGACACCAAGCTGGTGCCATCCTTCTGTCACACTGACAATGTTGTGCTCATGGAATACTGAAGTACAGCACACTGCTGCTGGATCATGTCCAGCAATGAGTAACCTACAAGGTTGGCAGATTTCTCTGAGCAAAATCTACCTTACCAGTTATGACTGTGGAAATACTGAGATCTTTGGATTGCTGCAGAAGGTTTGGTAGCTTGGGTTGACCGTGCCAGCAGTAGAACAAGTGAAGGATAAATCATGAGATCTGGCTTCTTGGGAGAAGAAAAAGGGAGAGAGCCAGCTAAAAGGATGGGAATCAGGGCAGCAGTAAGACATTTGAGGCACAAGAAGGTTGAAAGGCAAGTGTAATGGAAGTTCAAGAGTTGGAGATTTGTAGAAGAGAGAAAGTCGGGATTAGAGAAGGACCCTTAATTCTCACAAAAATCCTAGATTTCACAAGTGAGGGCTGGTGCACAATACAATCAGTGGGTGTTGAGGTTTGGGGCATGCGTGGCAGTAATGGATTGTGGGTAAATCATATGAAACATGAAGATGTCAGAGGTGAGCCTGTGATTGTGGAAATGATGGACAGATACTCACTGAGAATCTAAATTTTAGCAAGCCTCTACCCTAATGGGTTTAGTTATAGGGAAAGATACAAAAGGTGAGCTGGTATTTAACATACAAAAAAGTACTTAATGGCCTCAGTAAAACACTTCAAGGAACCATTAAATCACTTACATTTTGCACTGTAGTTTTTAAAAAAAGAACTTGAAATATGAGTTGGCAAAGCAGCACATTCAACAGGTAACTTTGAATGCTTTAGCCGAATCACCTTTATTAATTAGGAGGAAAAAACTATGTCCTTTGGCAAAATCTCCTCTTTATTCCACCATGACTGTTTCTTTCCTTCTGATAACTTGCAAGATAGCAAGCTATGGAAAGAGAGAGGCAGCTGAAGACAGTCGGACTTCCAGATGGGGTTAGAGATCATGGGAGAGGAACTGGAAGCCAGTAAAACTCAGTGTGGAGCCCTCTGCCTCTGTAGTTAGCTGTGTGATTGGAAACCAGCAAATAGGTACGGCCTTTGTAACTGTACATACGATTATCTGCTCTCTTCTGCCCATGTAGCATTTGAAGAAATCAGAATTAGATCTCATGTGAACTTAGACAGGCCTGCATCTGAAGATATGGAGCTACCACATAGGAATAGAATATGTACCCTAGATCTGACACATCATGGCATGGACAGAAAATGCATCAGATGTGTTGTCTGGAAATGTAAGAGCAGAAGCTTCAACTTGAATGGGTTTCTAGGATAAGGAAAATAATTTCTTTACAGAGCAGGCAGTCTAGAAGCAGAATGTCTAGACTCTGCCTTTGCTTCTCTCTGATTTTCTTTCCTCCCTTCTGCCATATGTTGATGTCATTCTTAACTGGACTCTCCTCGTGGCTGAAAGATGACTATGACAGTTGGAAGGGTCATATTAAGATGGGAAACATCAAGTGGATGGAGAGAGGTCACATGTTCATGTCTCCTTGGCAGTGAGGAGACCTTTGCTAGAAGATCACAGAGACTTGTAAAGAATTCAGGTCTTAGAGAAAGGAGTAAAGGGTATCTCCTTTCCCTACCTCCGCCCAAGCCTACAGCTTGCATTTCAAACAATTTGATGTGTGTGCCTCCAGCCCCTTTACCAACACATTTAGATCACCTAAGCAAGCCACTATACCTCCCTTTTAGACAGGAAGAACAAATGTTGGAGGCAGGAGTATCTTGTCTGCTCCAGGGACTTCCTTCCTGAATGAGGTTTATGGCATGCAGCCCTCTGGGCACCAGCATACCCCAAATTTAGCACCAAGAGAGGAGAGCCAGAGGACCTGGTAGACCCCCTTTTCAGGGAAGGAGAGCTATTTGTGCCTTCTAATATTTTTCCTGCTCTGCTTTTACTTTCTAACCAGAGACCAAGGCCAATAAAGAGATTTTTGGAGAGATCCAGGACTGCCTCGCTGTCATCTCTGTTTGCCCCAAAGTCTGTCCTTGTTTGTACCCAGTTACTCTTGCATAAGAGAAGTGAAGGTGCCCTGATTCTGCGGGTCTATTATTTGAGTCACTTGGAGCAAGTTACGTCAATGGTTAGAAGTCGAGTCTTGGTTTTCTCCAACCTTAAGGTGCATTTGTTTTTCCTTATCGTATTAAGGTTTCTGAAATAAGGTGTGAGTGGCATTAAGTATATATCTCCTAAGAGGATAATTTTTAAAAATTAATTTCTCCTTTTGTTTTTTGGAAAGTTGTTAGTAAGCCAGTGAAGTAACTTTGCAAGTTAGAACTGTGGGAATGTGATAATCAGTTTCCTGAGGTATCATTTGGACCGTGGAGATTGCATGATAGCCTGATCTGTGAACTGTAAAAGTGCTGTAGAAATACAAGAGGTCTGAAAACTGTCAGCTGTCTGATCACATCTTAAAGATGCAAACAAAGGAACTTCTTGACCTAAAAAGTTATGAGAATCTTCCACAGAGTTGTAATCTGAGTTGTGTGAATGTGTTTTCCTTTTCTCCTTCTGTCTTTCTCCCCTTTCCACACCCCTCGGTTTTTTTCTGTGCTAGGGATCAAACCCAGGGCCAGGCCCATGTAGGCAAGTGCTCTACCACTGAGATACACCTCGGACCCTGGGAATGTACATTTCTCTTCTGTTTCCCACCCTGTAAGACTCAGTAAGCTATTTTCACTTCAAATGAAACAAGCAAACAAACAAATATAGTTCATAAACACTGAAAGGGTTTTGTTTTGTCTTTTTGGTACAGGGTCTTGCCATGAAGTTCAAGTGGCCTTGAGCTCACTGTGTAGCCCAGGCTGGTCTCAAACTTAAAAGAATCTTCCTACCTCGGCCTCCCAAGTGCTGGGATTACAGGCATGTGTCACCACACCTGGCATTGGAAGTTTTTGAATTAAGCCTCGGCAAGATTTGTTTTCTTCTTGTAATTCAGTGGATTTTTGACCCTTGCTGGAATTATCAGGATAGTCCCAAAGCTCTTATTTTTTTTCCCAAAGCTCTTATTAACCTAAACACAATGTCAATGAAAATGAATTGGAATGTTCCATGGTAGCTGGGCTAATGCCATTTTGTTTCTGGTCACCATTTTGCCTCCTGAGCTCTCCTGTCTATCCCTCCCAATTTTCATTCTGTTGAGACCTGCAACCCCAGGAGAACTTTCTCCAGGTGACCTCTTTTCAAAAACCCCTTTTCTGACTAAGGTTGTACCTAGTCCTTACCTACACCACCAACATTTGGACCAAGGTGATGGTCTCGTTTTTTCCTCAGACCTAGAAATGAGCCTCTGTATAATGTTTAACCACCGTATCCTAAGGGCTGACATTCTGAACTCTGTGTTGGGTGTCTGCCACTGATGAATAAAACTTGCTTGCTTCTGTGCTCTTTGAGTGTCTCTTGTGATTTTGCTACATCAGAGAAAGGAGGTGTTGCAAGTAAAGTTGAGCACTAGGATGTCATTGGGTACCCACAGTATGCCAAGCAACACGGATGGATCCAAATCAATTATTCAGATACCTCATTTCTGTCTAAGCAGGGTCCAAGGAAGATAGCGAAAGGAACAAAGTCTAGGACTGCCTAAAAATTCTCTCTCAGCTAATTCCAGTGATTTGTCCTAATTACAAGTCTGAAGAAATTCAGAATCTGGAAGGAAATTTGGTAAGCAAAGGATGCTAATCAAATAACCCCATGGAAACAAAATCACAGAGAGATTGTTTATATTCTCCTGACAAATCTCATCAGCTGTGTAGTGTTCATTTGCAGGTTAATGTTCTATCACAGCTACAAAGTCAGGAGTCTCCAGAGGCTTAAGCATGAGGTAGCTGAGTCCCAGTGTCATTGGAAAGGGGACTGCACCCAATGGGGACCATGTCAAGGCTCTGTCACCTGTCAGTGGGTATTTTGCTTCTGTCCTTAGTTCTGGGGTTCACCAGCAGAGAGGACTACAGTCTCCGCCCTTCTGGAGTTAATATTCTCATTGCTACTGCTTTAAACAAAAATTAAGCCAGAATTATCTCTATTGTCTTAAAAATAATTACAATAAACTTATCTTTAGAAAAAGACTGAATGCATCAGACATACTGGTATGTTCCTGGGAATAAATTGACCAGATTTTGATTTTGTTAGTGTTTAGATCTTTTTCACATAGAGAATACTTCTGGATAAACATGTTTACTATAATTGTAAGTAGAGATAGTTTATTTTTAACATTCTGTTTGGTCTTAGTTTTCCAAATAACCATAATTATAAAATGTTATTGGTTGTACAGGGCACCACCTGGTTTATTTAATTCTAGTTTTACTGTTCAAATGAAAATAAGACTTCATCATAAAAATTTCCATTTCTCCTGTTGTGGTACTGACTGTGAAAATTACATCACTCATTGAAATTGCTACCAAACCCCTAACAGATACCTTTATATCTCTATAACTTCCAATGGTCACTGTTAGGTCCAAATATCTGAGTAATTGTTTGTTTCCTGAAACTTGTATATTTAAGCCTTAACTGCTTTCAAAAGTCAAAATTGCAAAAAATTTCATTCCAGGATCTTATTTAGCTTTACTTATGTGAGTCTAGAATCAGGCAATACCTCATTTCATGAAATGGAATATTTATTCTGATAAACCAAGCAGTGGAGGTTGGTTTTAGACAGAAAAATGTCAAAGAAAGTAGAAAAAGAACACAACGTAGATTGGTCCTTGCTATGACTTGTGTATAGCTTCCCTCCGCCGGCCCACGAAGTCCTACATGGAGCTTTCCAGAGGTGGCTGGATCTGCACTGTGTTAATCTGGGGTTAAGTGTGTGATGATTGGAGCAAAGGTGTGTAATTACTGAGTTAGTCCACTGAGTGGTTTGGCATAGCTCTGGGTGTGGATAATGGGGAGAACCACCCCGAGTGTGAGTACACCCCCACCCTAAAGATGTGTAGCCTGGATAAAACAGAAGAGACAGAAAGACGGACGCTGCTGTCCTTGCTTGCTGCTGCTGCTGCCTTCCGCCCGCCATGAACTGTTTCTCCTCTCTGATGTGCCTCTGCCATGCCAGCCCATTATAGACTGAAAACTGTAAACTATGAGTCAAAAATAAGCATTGCCTCCCTTTACTTTGAGGGTCAGTTATTTTGTCTCAGCAACAAGAAAAGTAAGTCAGACATTTTGAAGTTACTGTTGTAAAGGTTAAAGCTGAGAGGACTTGTTTATCACCGCAGCTAACATTGGCTTGTTTGAGGATTTGCCTGCCTTCTCTCAATTTCTTGGAAAGTCAGATAAACAGCTTTTGGCTTGATGGCGGAACTTTAGTGTGAGCGACTCCATTGGTTTGCTTTGTTGGGCCTAGTGCAGAAGCTCAGTTCAAGTCAATGACCTCTTACAAAATTTATTTAGCTCTGCCAATAGGATGATATTAGAAATATTTACACCACCATGAGGGCAGTGGGAGGTGACTAGGATTATGAGAGGCCATAAAGGTCACATTTCCAAATGAGATTAGTACAAGAACAAGAAAGACGTGTCTCTCCACTGAGCAAGTGCATGCACAAAGCACACTAAAGTAGGGTAGTTCCAAAAGCTTACTTTAGAACTTCCATCTAGCTACACAGTTCTGTGTCGCGTGGTTCCTCCAGGGTGACCTGGGTGATTTCTAGTGTGTCCTGGTCCAGTCAGCTCCCTTCTGAGTGCTCAGGGCCTCTTGTATTTTCAGTATTGTCTTGAGTGACACTCAGTTAGAAAACTAACTTTTCTTCCTCCATAGTTCATTTCAAAGCATACCGGCATTTTTACAAATGTCAAATCTTCACCATTAGGCATTATATTTGTTACTGATTAGTAGTACATTGCAGATTTAAGAGGTTGATAAACATTTTTAATGGTGAGAAAATGTGACCAGATTTTTTTCACTTAGAATAATGTCTTCAGTTTCACTTACATGGTAGCATGTACCACCCTTCCTCTTAAGGCTGCATAATCTTCCATTATGTAGCCAAATGTAACACATTTTATTTATCTATTTATCTCTCAATGGAACTTCGGGATGTTTCCACTTTTTTGACATTATGAATAATATCATCACAAATATAGCTATACAGATATCTGTTTGAACCCTAGCTTTTGATTATTTTGGGTATATACTTGAAGGAAAGTTGCTAAATCATACAATAATTCTTTTTCATAATCTGAGGGACAACTATAGGATTTTATAATACTGCCAGCAATGAAAAAAGCCTTAGACTTCTCCACATCCTGGCCAGCACTTGTTGTTTTCTAAGTTTTTTTCTTTTCTTTTCTTTTTTTTCTGTACCAGGAATCAGACTCAGGATCTTGTGTTTGCCAAGCAGGCGCTATACCACTGAGCCCTATTTTCTGAGTTTTTGTAATGGTCAGTATAATGTACATGAAGTCAAACTTGTTTTAAAAGTAGTAGTCTTCTCCGAAGTATTTCCTCCAAATAAAAATAGTGCATATTTGGGTGAAAAAATAAAGATGATTTTTATTGTCCTTTTTTTTTGGTACGGGGAATCAAACTCATGACCTTTTGCTTGCCAGGCAGGTGTTTAGGCCATTGAGCTAAATCCCTGCCCCCCCTTTCTTTCTCTGTGTGTGTGTGTGTACATGTGCACATGTGCATTTTATCTGCCAAGTTTATTTCATAGAGCACACATTTACACAGAGCTTTAACAGTGTTTCAACACACACCATAGGTTCAGAAAAACATCAGAACCTCAGTTTTTTAATGTGATTGTCTCTACCTTCTATGTGAAAGCTAGTGTATAAAAAGTTTTGAAACTTAAGGCAACCTGCCCTAATCTATAACAAAGATAAGTACTTGAAGTAGCAAAAAACAAAAGATTAGAAAGAATAGTTGTCTCCTTTTACGAATCCAGGACTGGTAGCCAAAAGGAGTAATTGGTTTACTTCAAATTCTGTGATTCAACACCATGAAACTCATTAGTGTTAGGACAAGGAACTCGCATTCAAGTTTCATGGAATCATATATCTGGTGTGTGTGTGTGTGTGTGTGTGTGTGTGTGTGTGTAAGTGTACTTACGTGTGTGCACATGCGTGTGCTTCTCATGGGGACTGGAGAGTGAGGCTGCCCCCGTCCTGCCTTGCAGCTCGTGCCAAGAGGACATCACGATCTTTTTGCTCCACTGCCTCTTTTTTCTGTCTGAAGTGTGTGTAACACACACAATGCAAAGTATCCAAAACCCAGAGTCCAGGTGCTTCGCTTTGGAGGTTAGCAGCACCTCCTGTTTGCTCTGGCTGTGCAGCCTGCACATGGACTTCATGCTTCTCGATCTGGGACGGACACCCCAGCCCTATTCGGTGTGCTAAGGTCATCCTCGGGCGCTGCAGCTGCAGGGCTTGCCTCTGCTCGCTGAAGCAGAACCAGGGCCTCTAGCAGTGAATCAGTCTTCAGAAACACAGTCAGGTTCCAGCATGTGCCCTTCGAATGCCCTGGCCTGCCTGCCTCCCTATCTCGTTTTTAGCACAAGAAAATCTCCTGTTAGGGTTTGTCCACTCGCTGAGGTCTGGGCTGGTCACCTTAATTAATTACAACTGGAAGGGGAGGGTATTTTCTTCCTATTTTGTAAATTTGTAGTCTATAATTTTCCACAGAATTTTAATGCTTATAACATTTGTCTTAGCTTTAATATCAGTTAATAGTCCATATGTACCAATTTATAAAAGGTAGAAGAAATCTTTTTATGGAGCCATTATTACTTTTGTAAAAATAAAGGGTACTCAGCTTATAATAATGCATTTTACATTTTTCTTTGTTTAGGTACTGGAGACTGAAAGCTTAGAAAGTGTGTAGTGTGTGTGTGCGTGTGTGTGTGTGTGTGTGTGTGTGTGTGTTAGAAAACTTGATGAACCAGGAAACAGGTAAGGAGGAAAGACACAAGTTAAGACCTCTTTAATAAATCCTTGAGAGATTCTCCATGTAAGACTGACTGCTTCAGTCAGTTATCAGAGACCTTCAGTGCAGATGTTTTTTTTTTTTTTTTGTTTTGACATGATGATGCTGGCTGCTTGACTGGAGGGCCAAGATTTTGAAGAGAGAGGAAAGAAAACTGTTAGCACTGTCCGCACTTGAGCTGTTAGGACTCAGGCTGGTTGTGTGCAGATATGGGGAACAGCAGTGAAACCCTGTGACTCACTAGGGAGCCTGTCATTGTGGAAGGAGTTGAAGCTGTGATGAATTGTGCACTGGGTAATTCCATTTACTAATCACTTCACAGCTGAGTAAGACACTGCCTTTTCTTTTTTTCTAAACATTGCTTCTCCAGGTTTTGTGTCCTAGCAATAGGGACACTGAACTGTGCAGAAGGCATAAAGAATTCAGTAGAAATTGTAGTTTGGGTTTTGATCTTTTTTCAGGCTAAGACTGTTTGACTTTTATGATGCTTGGCAGTGGCAGCAGGCCGCAGCTCTGATTCAGCCATAAAGGGTAGAAAATCCCTAGTCCACAGTGGACTGTGCCACCTGAGTTTGGAGGATATTTTATGTTGTAGTTTTGCACCTCATTATGTCTGCCTTGTGTGTACATGGTGTATTACATGCTTAGTTATAAAATAGACTTTTTGCTACCTGATTTTTCCCAATTATAGGTAGCATAAGTGTTCTGAGTATGTTGCAGATAGTCTGGGCTAAGCAATCATGTGTACTAGGTTTTTGACTCAATATTTTCTTTCACACCGACCCCTTACCTCCTTTCCAGTGCTGGGGGTCACATTCAGGGCCTCATGCATGTTGGGTGAGCACTGTATCACTGAGCTATATTTCTAATCCCTGACTTCTATTTTAAACTTTGGGTGAGGTTATTCAGAGGTGTGTAGACTCATTGTAAGTAAAGAAGTGCCCCACACTCTGAACATGGCCACCTCTGTTCACCCACCTGATCCCATGGTCGTCTTCAGGTCATTACCTGTAACTTATCTATTCATGTTTCCTCTATTTAGGTACAATTGTTTTTTCAGTTCTAAACACTGTTTCTTAAGAAATTTATTTTTATTAGTACATGTTTGTAGCACATAACGATTTCGTTCTCAGTGGTGAACAGTGGATCTTAATTGGAGATCCTCAGGCTTCATGTCTTACTGGATTTTCTATTCCCACAGTGTGAAATCACTTTACATTTCATCTGTTTCATCATGGTGTGTGTCTACATGGTGAATGGAAAGAGCCTTCACGAGAGATGTCTTTGGTAGATTAACAAGATTTTGTAGGGGCATGTTATAATTCTTACTGGTATTGGAATGGAACCTACTGATTTCTTTTGGCAAAGTGAGTCATGTCCTACTTTTTTTCAAGTAAAACAGGACTGCACCTATGTAATTATGCTAATCAAGGACCTGCCATTTAAGTGAGATGCATTTAGTATAAAGGGAAAATAATGCAAAAAAAGAAAAGATAGAAACCAGTTACATGAGGCAAAAATGTTTTGAGTTTATTTATTTGTTTATTTAGTCTTTTTGAGACAGGGTCTTGCTATGCAGTTCAGGCTGGCCTTGAGCTCACTTTGTAGCCCAGGCTGGTCTCAAACTTGCAATGATCCATCTGTCTCAGCCTTCCGAGTGCTGGGATTGCAGGTGTGCACCACCACACCTAGCTTATAATTTAATATGATTTATTAGATGCAAAGAAAGCACTGTGTTATCTCCATTGTTTCCTGTTGTGTTTTAATGATGTGGATCTGCTTTCAAGAACATTGATGGGACAGAGATGAGTTAAGTTCTCGTCTGTGTGACATAGTGCTTGTTTTCAGTCAGGAACCATCTGATCCTGACCTCAGCTTTAACGTTCACTGTGGTTCCTCATCTTTTCAGTCTTTGGTGATGAGACAAAAGACAACAAACTGCTAGCTTCTTTGGACAGATGGAGGCCTAGAAGGTATGAAGTCCAGAAATTCTTGATCCTTTGCCAGCTGAATATTTATAAGTATCACGAGGCCTCAGCCCATGGAAGCCAATATGATTTGGCAGCTGGAACCTTAAATGCATGTCCCTTAAGGAAGTGGTATTGATTTTAGTAAAGTATGGCCCATGTGTGGTCAAGATGACTGATATGTACTTGCTTCTGTGATCCTAAGGAACCAAGGTACTTGACACATTTTTGATAGATCTCGACTATGTGTTTCTAAAGTGCTGCAAACTTCTAGCCAAGCTGCTGAGTTCTGCTCAGGATCATTACCTATCAGCTGGTGAATGCAGGAGGCTCTAATTGCCAGTTCTATCAGGAGTGTTTGCATGAGCCTTGTTTTTGACTGAATTCCAGCAACAGATGGTCATCATGGCATATATTACCTACATTCCCCTGAGACAGGAGTTTAGGTTATTGTGAACCTGGGTAGTATGAAAAGCCAACCTAGATAAATGAAAAGCAACACAGTAACATTCAAGTTGTCTTCAATTCATTTTAACTTTCAAGAAACATTTATGAGGAACGCTTTTGTATGTTAGGAATATTCTAGGTGCTTGGAATCCCACAGAAAATAAGATAGACAAAAATCCCTCGTTTAGGGGTTTTATATTTTCATAGTGAAGACAGATAATACATGAATAATGAGACAACTTGAATAATGGGAACTGTAGCATCAAATAAATTTTTAAAAGCCTAATTTAACAAAAGTTAGTATGGAACTTGGGACAGAGGCATCATGAAATAGTTATGGTGGGAAGAGAGCTTAGAGACATTTGAGCTGAGATCTGATTGACAGGAAGGAGCCAGCTATGTGCAGACTAGGGGAGAATGTGCCAGGCAGGAAAGAGCATGTGCAAAAGGGCTGAGGCGGTTTGAGTTTGGCATTTTCTGAGACCAGCAGGAGGGCCTGGGAAGCTGGCCCCTTATGTCCCATGGGAAGAGTGATAGGAAGTAATGTTTGAAGACTTGAAGCCAGTCAGATCCTGTATCGCATTGTGGGCCGTAGAATGTGAGATGTTCTCAGGGAAATATGGAAAGCATTCGAGAGTTTTAAGTAGGGAGTGATGTGGTCTGATGAATAGTGCTGTAAATTACTACACATTATATCTGTGGTCCAATTAAAAAACCCTCCAGAATGTGTCACTATACTTGTGAGAATATTATTGGGTTTATAATAGGCTACACATTTAATTTTGTAGAAAATACCAAGAGCACTTGCCTAGCTTTCGTGAAACTCCTGGTTCACCCCCAGTATTGTCCCTCCAAAAAAAAGCTTAACAAAACTCCTTTCCATCAGCTTTACTTTTTAGTCCCATCCTACATTTGCTGACTTTGGAATTTCTTTAGAAGTTCTGTTCCTCCATTCCTGGGTCTTTTGGAGGTTCTGTAAGTTAGTTTGCTGGTTATCATCTATCTCCTTTATCTGTTGGATTAGATTTTTAGCATTCTCTGTTTTGCTAATTCAGATATCATCTATTCATTTATTTGTTAGCTTCCAAAGCTTGGTTAACATCTTTTGTCTACTGTCATCTTTTCTCTCTTTTTAAAAAATTCATTGTGGCTTATTTCTTTTTATTTCTTTACTATCCATGGGATTTTATGGGGAAGCAGAGATAAACATGTGTAAGTCTGCTTTATTAAGTTAGAAACTGAATGTATCACAAGGTATCTAAGTAATTCTTCCCTAATGGAAACTCATTCTAATGTTATGCAGTTACAAATAATTCTCATGTACTCTTATGCAAACATATCTAAGCATTATATGACAAATTTCTCAACATGGAACCCTTGGGTCAGAAACGAAGTATGTTTAAAACTTTTGATGGCTATTACCAACACTTAAATTTGAACTAATTAATATTCATATCAACATTGTATATGAGGTAGAACACATTTTTGTTAGTGTACTAGCCACATGTCTTCAGTGATGCTGGACAAAAGATTTATTTGATTGATTTAAAACACTTCCTCTACTGATAATCTTTGTTGATTTTCATACTAGATAACTGAAAAATGGTACTAAGCACTATTATATTGTAGTTCTCCAAGAAAAAATGTAACATGTAAGTAACTAACAGTATAGCAACAGAAATGTAACCAATATAATTACATAGATTTGTCTTTTTACTTTGTTCTTGTCGCTTAGAATTCTTCAGTTTCATAGGCTACCAAAATTTTCAGCATTAGAGGAACCGTGATTTTATTATAATCTGCTTTTACTAGATTACTTTAGTGGGAACTTTCATTTTCTGCTTTATGTTTATACACTCATTCTCTAGATCACCTTGTTTCTGATATGACTGCTGGCCTTTCTGGTTATCTGAGTGTTTGTGTTAAAAGGACAAAAACACATTTTCTTAGACCCATGAAATACTAGAAAAATAACTATGTGAGATGGAGAGCCTGCTAAAGAACTGGAAAAATCTGAGACTGGGAATTTGACAGTTTAGAGTTTACATTAGCTCAGCTACGTATTACTGCTGATGTTGGGTGACCATATAAGCTTTGAGCCTTTTTTTGGGGAGGGGCTATGGGGGATCGAACTCATGACCTGGCACTTGCCAGGCAGATGCTTATACCACTGTGCCAAATCCCTGGCCCCTGAGCCATATCTTTAAGGTAAGAGTAATAAGGCCTTTAAAATAGTTGCATCTTTGATGTGTAAACTACAGAAATCAAACAGTATAACAAAAATAAAAAAGCAAATTCATTTATTCACTTAACAGAGAACCTCAAGGACGAAATTTACCTAGCATATATTTAAACTATCAAGTGTATATATTTATAATTAATACTTTAAATAAGTGCATATATTTAAACAATATCAAGAATGTATAATTCTATCTCTCACCTAATCTTTCCTGGGTTGACTTGGTGAAGACACAAATGGCCACCAGCAGCCCAGTGCTTGAATTCTGTGACTTGGGAACTTCATGCAAAGCAGGAACATCTTCTCAGGCATCCCCAAAAGTGTCCAGGGCTGAGTCTTATCTCATCTGGTGTGGTTCATACATCTCTCAGAGCCATTGTCTGTAATTGTCCAGTCCTCTCCAGGAGAAATGGGTTCAAGGTAAACAAAAATGGGTGAGTTGCCCACAGTAAAAGTGAGGTGCTGTTGTCCAGAGGAAAGGGCCTGGGTGCTGGGCAGAGAAAGGCAAGAAGTAACTCCTGATTTTTTCAGCTTGCCTCTCTTGACTGGGCCAGGGCTGAAATACACATTTGTAAGTATAAACTCATGGTGCTATACAACAAATGTATGTTTGTTCTTTCTTTTTATTATGTGGATCCTTCATTATGACTGAGTAAAATAGGTTTCCCCAAATAAATTATTTACAGTTAATCTTTGCAGTTCCTTTTGGGCATGAATGAATCATCCCAATTCTTATTTCTAAAACTTCTCTTATAATATGTAATGTAAAGGAAATTTTCGAGGAAAGATAATAGTAACTTTTAGAAAATAATATATATTATTGTGTTTATCCAGTCTTGTTTAACATGCCTTGGCCAATGAAATCATGATAGATTATCATACCTTGATGTGTACAGTGATAGCCAGTTAAGATATGCATAACTTTAGAACATTGTGTGTATCACACCATAAACAAAAGAAACCAGCAGAATGACCTGGATAGCTCTTCAGGGTCTGAGAGCATCTTCCAAGTATTCCTTCGTCCTCTGGGCAGCCTATTTTGATATTATATATAACTTTTCTTGCATCTAATAATGTTTAAACTGGTGCTACCTTTGGAAGTAACTTTCGTAATGTTAAGGATCTCTTGTAAAAGCGAAACTCCCTTTTCCATGTGTAATGTATCAGGAAAGCTTCATTTGCAGAGGGTAACAAACTGCACCTTTGTGGTCTACTTTTCATGTGAAGTGTGTTAAGAAGGGAGTAACTTCCCCTGTCTCTTTAGGAAAACAGAGCTTCCTGCTCTTTCAGGTAACAGACAGCTCTGTTTCCACTTCCAACATGTCCTGAATTTAGCAATTTGATTATGTAACCTAAGCAAATCGTGCACACAGAATCTCATATCAGCTCTTCACTTCTCCCCCAGCAGGGCCCCTGTGAAGCTGGCTGTTGGTAGGGGGACAGCAAAGCAAGGTCCTTCCCTCTTTCCAGCCTGCATTAATTTTTAAAAACTCCTTTAGGGCTGACTTAGTTGGAGCAGGGATTAGGAAAACAGAACATACTCTTCCTTAGTGTGTATACTTGTTGACTTTCTCTCTATTGGGTAATTTCAAGTTTTGCTTTGCTGCTTGGGACCCTTCTTTGCTTATCCCTTGTAGGCAAAACGCTGTGAGGACTGTAGTATATCTCTTTTGGGTGATTTCAACTGCATCAGCTCCTCGTTGCTTGGTGTGTTACGGTCTCCGTTGGAAAACTGTTCCCTCTTCAGGAGGCTGGTATGGACTGAATGACTCCAGGAAGGTCTTACCAACAAGGCCTGGACATGGACCATGGGATTCTTCACAGATGCTGTGAGGGATGAGGAGGGAGAGCAGGGAACATGTGTTATATGAAGTGAAATCTATAATTGGTCTTCATCCCCTAAAACACTTGGAGTCTCCTACAGACTAAGAGGGACGAGAACACATTTTTCTGTAACAGAAAGTGTGTTCCTAAGTCCTTGTTAGCGTTCTTACAGGCACAGAATTAATTCAGAAAGGAAAGGAACGTTCTGTGGGAGCTGGAGGACTTTGCTGCCAAGCTCCACTGTGACAGTTTTGACTCTTCTGGAATTCTTAGGTCTTTCTTGATTTTTTAAATGACAGCATTGCTGATGGTCTGGATGGGGAAAATATATTTTTTGTGTATATTTCTCCTTGATAATGATTAGCATTACATTGACTTTTTTGATTATAGAAGGACATTTGAAGCCAGCCTAGGCAATATAGTAGGAAGACAGTGCTCAAAAGAAAGAAAAATTACGTAGAGCATGAAATATGTATTACATATACCTATATATCTGTAGATATATGTTATTATTCACTTAAAAGTAGCCACTTTAAGGATTTTTTTAGGTCAAGATATCATTGATCACAATTTTTTGAGTATTTTACTTTATTTTATATTTTTTTGCAGTGATGGGCCAGACCCAGGGGCCTCATATGTGTTAGGCAGTGTTCTACCACTTAACTATACCTCTGACTCCATGAGGCTCAATCTTCTTAAAACAATATTAAACCTTTACCATAGGTTGATACATTGTGTCAACTTGAGAAGTTTAGAAGTTTAACTGAGAGACTCAGCAGGGAGCCAGGGTTCTCACTGTGTAAATACCTTCATCTTGTGCAAAGGAGGGCAAGGAGATTTTGTGAGTGCACAACCACAAGGGAACGGGGCTGTGTACAGTATAAGGAGGAGAAGAGGCTTGCTTTCTCCTTTTTTTTCTGGCTGCTACCCTGAAATGTTGCCCCAAGGCCATGCCACACTTCTTTGGAGCCAGTTGATTATTGACTGAAACCTCCAAAAACTGTAAGATAAGAAAAGCTTCTCTTCCCTAATTTTGGGAGTCAGGTATTTTGCCTTAGCAACTAGAGAAAAATAACCAAGACACATAGTCTTCCAGATAGCCTTAGTAAATAGCCATTCTCTGAGAAGTTGAATGTGATTTTTGGGAAACAAACTAACCAGTAATCACTGGGAACTGAATCTGATGGATAATATTGATTATCATATTAGGCAAAGCTTTTGAGGTCAGAATAGTATGTCTATAAAATGTTTTTCATGTTTAATTCCACTTTTGATAGTGGGTTTTAAAAACAATTTAAGAGTAATCTCAAACAACAGTAATGCTATTAAACTGTGCCCATATCTCTAGAGATTACTGTTTGAAAGTAAAAAGTACAGAAAGTATAAAAAGAAAATGCTCAAATGCTCTTCCTTTCCTCACAAAGCTGTCTTTCCTGAGGCAGTACCATAGCTACCCCCGGCTTGTCACACAAGTCCTTCAACTTATGTTGATAATTGTGCAGAACAATACTCTCAGCCAGATCTCAGTATCTTTGTGTATACTTTATCTCACTTCACTATGAGCTCTCTCTGTCCCAAATAACACCAATCCCTTTTAAAGGTATGTGTAGCTTTGTGCAGTGACATTAGCATAGCCAATGAGATTTATCCAAGTTGTGATTATTGCTAATTGAAAACTTTTCCCAATACTCTGTCATGACGACTTGAAATAAGTCGGCATTGGCAATTTTTAACAGTTTCTTTGGAGACTGAGAGAAATAAAAATAAAGTGTGAGTGTTTTCCTTTGGGAAGCCTCCAAAATTACTCAAAGAGCATCTGTCTATAGGCTTCTAAGCCATCATTTGGTGGGAAACTGTCGCCATTGTTGGTTTCTTGCTGCTATTATCCCAGGCACAGTTAATGTTGTCACCCTACATATTAAAGCCTCACAGAGCCTCTTACAGTAATAGCCTATCAATCTGTGGATGAGGGAGTGTGGTTCCTAAGTTCTTAACAGCATTTCTGCAGGTACAGAATTAATTCATGACATTCTTCCATGGGACTGTGGCCTGGGCTGCCAAGCTCCAGTGACAGTGAAGAGTTCACTGTCAGATCCTCTTTCAGCCGTGGTGCATGTGACTCTCTTAGCACTGGTCCACAAATATGTGCTTAAAAAATTGTAGCTGCTGATATGGTGCAATCACTTTATAGTATTAAAGCGTTGGCTTTTTTTTCCAGTCAAATCATTTCAGACGTTTTCTTTAAACACCCAGTTAATCACTCAGATGTTATTTCACCTTAAAAGAGCCTTTTTACTTTGTCACAAGATGGTCAGTTCATCCAGAGGAATCTGACCTTTTGTGTAGCCTCTTAGGAACCCATGGCTTCCTTCCCAGTCACTTGCAAAAGGATTCCCCGCGGTGAGCCACCAGCCTTTTGAAGACATCCATTGGTGGGGAAGGGGTACATGGCTCATCCTGTAGTTTCAGATTTCATTCATGAATGTTTTTCGATTTTAGGAATTGAGTCAATTCACAGAACCACGGAACAGTAGATACAGCTATGTTCTGAAACATGGTTCATCTACTGTTTGCTCATCTGTGCCCTGTTAACTATGAGTGCAATGTGTTCCTCAAAGAATCACAGTTATTTTTATTACAAAATGAATGTGAGGAGAAAAAAAATAAAGTACCAGGGAGGTCCTGGCTCTATACTATTTCTTTCTTTGTATCCTTTATTTTTAGATTTATTTCTATCACATGTCGGTCACATAATTTACTTATGAATTTGACTCCTGTATTTTTCTTTTTCACTTTATTTTTACTTAGCATTACATAACAGGTGTGCTGCCTAGTACACTGTACAACCTTCTTTCAGAGGGCATTTTTTCCATCATTTAGAAAAATGACCCTTTAACAAGTATTTGCCACACCCTTTCTTAAAATGGTAATGATCACCTCCAGAGATGCACCTTTTTTATCCAATTACATTGATGTGCATGGTGGGCACCGCTTTTTCAATAGTGATCTGTGGACATAGGCCATGGCCACTTTGGAGAAAAGCAAGCATGCGTCCATGATGATGAATCCAGAGAACCATATCTTGGCATGGTTACCTAGCTGGAAACTCAGCTCTGGTCCCCTTAAAGGCTTCATTCATCCTCATTCTAAATTTAATGATGGTTATATGAACCCTAAATCTCCTTTTCTGACTGAGGTAAGGAGGGAATCCATTTCTCAGTCTTTGCATATCCCCCTCCCTCCTTCTTTTCTTACTAAAAATGTAAGTAAGTAACTCACAGGAGCTTTTAGCATATAACCCATATCTTAAGAGTGAGGCATTGAGTTTGCTGCCCACCAGCCTTGTAAGACATGAGTCAATTCCAGAGTACAGAGTTGGGAACTCATTTGTTCCTGACCTAAGAACTAGTAACTGACTAGTAACTATTTTGGCTGATTGCCCTGATTCTGGAGTCGTTTGCTTCTGCTTTGGTTTATTTCACATTTTGTAAAATGATGCTTAAGTAAAAATACTTTTTTTTTTGGCTGGGTTCCTGTTTTTTCTTAATTTTAAAGAGAATAAAACAAAACAATCTAGTGAAAGTGTTTTTCTCAGTAAGCATATTTGCTCATCGGGCATTCTTTGCCCTGACTTATTTTTTCCTGTTACTTAGACTGTTCTTCGTCTTTCTGTTTCTACACATCGTTCTTAAAAGCATCCTCATCAAAAGTTTTTATAGATCACGTGAAGAGACAGGGCACTGCACAGAGATGGTTTGCCTGGGAAGCCTGTACTCCTGAAGGTTCTCTCCTTCTGTCTTTTCAAAGAGTAAGTTAATCTTGAACACCCACAGATATGCAAGTTGGAATTACAATAGAATATTCTGATGAATCTTTTAAAAACATTTCTACTTAAACACCACGGTAGCCATTGATGATTTCCTGTCATTTTGATTCAAAAGCCAGAAATACTTTTATTCTTGGTTTTGACTGGTTTTAGTCTGTTTTCAATTATTTGATCCCAATATATATGAAGATATGGACAACTATTTTGAAGAAAACAAGAGACATTATGGTAGCCATTATTGATTTCCTAGTGTCTGTTTTGAAAGCCCTTAAGGGCTTTCCTGTTACTTAGACTGTTCATCTTTCTGTTCATCTTTCTGACTTAGACTGTTCATCTTTCTGTTTCTTCACATCCTTCTCGGACTATGTGTGTTGACTCTGCTTGCATTCTCATCCTGGCCTCCTGAAGTGCTCCCCCAACCCCGCGTCAACTATTTGTGGCTGTCAGCAACACAAATGCAGTAAGCTGATGGTAGGAAAAGGGTAAATTTTGTGGAATTATTCATGAATAGGAAGAACACAGTCCCTGAAATACCTCCGAAGGTCTAGGTAAGAAAAGGCTGGTAGATAGTATAGCAGCTGGAGCTGGGACCTGGGGAGCCACTGGAATCAGTAAAGTCACCCTTCATTCCGTCCTTTCTTTAGGTGTCATGTGGTTTCTTGCTATGGATCTGTATCAGAGTTTCTTGAATGTCACTGTTGCCATTTTTGACCAGATATTTCTTTTCCTTTTCAAGATGTCCTGTGCATTGTAGGATACTTAGCAGCCTCCCTGGCCTCTGCTCATGAGCTGGCAGTAATATATCCCACAAGAAAAGGGGTCTCTAGACTTTGTTAAATGTCCTTAGAGGAAGTGAGTTTCCTTGGTTGGTTGGAAACTAGTGGTACATATAAAACTGCTTTATTCTCCTGTTCTTGGTTACTCTGTGTGTATGGGAGAAAATGGCTTCCAGCCCTGTCTCACCTCTCCACTCTTGGTTAAGTGTTCCATTTCCCAATTCCAACTCCAAAGACAGGATCACAGGATTTGATTGTCTCTGGGTTAGTTCCTTGGGAAGAGGTATCGACTCTGTTCCCTCATGAAGCACAAACATGGTGTCAAATCCTCTCCTCCAGAGCAGTAATCATCCTGTGGAGCTCATTTTTCCCTGCAACTCAGTTTATTCTCTGGTAAACACCTGTAGTGGTTGGTTGATTGATTGTATCAACTTGAGACACTTAGAAGCTTAACTAAATGGGTTTAGTAACTCTATATCCTAGAAGACCCACCCTGGGCTGACTCATCACTTGGAGGTATAAAAGGGAGGTATAAAAAGGAGGAAGGATGAATGCATTGCATTCTTTGGAGAAGCTCCAGTCTTTGCCTTTGGTTTGGAGCTTGTCTCCTGGCTTCCAGTGTAGAATCTTCGGCTTTCCAGCATAGATTCTTCAGCCTTCTATTGTAGAGCCTTCAGCCTTCTGTCGCAGACCCATCAGCCTGCTGGTGTGGACTTGCACGAGACTCTAGGGTGAACTCCAGACCTTGGATTGAATCCTTCGGCCTCCAGCATGTAGCCACCCTCTGCACGCTTCCTCATCCGACTCTGTTGCTGACGGGAGTAAGCCAATCTTGCCATTTCTTATATATTGTATGTCTCATGTTAATCTGTTTTCTCTATAAAACCCTAATACAACACCTATTATTTCTAATTAATCTAAAATTGTCTGGGAAAAAAACATTTAAAGAAGCATTTGCTTCTTATTCAGATTATGTTGTGCCAGAAACCAGTAGAGCTGTGGAATTGGTACAGAACTGTGGTTGAAAGCACAGGCTTTGGAGCCAGGCTGCCTGGTTTTGCTCTCACTGGATCGTGTGTTGACTGTGGTGTGGGAAGATTATCTGATCCCTTTTCCTAGCTTTTTCATCTCATCTGTAAAATCTGACAGCAATGGTAACACCAGTAATAGTAACAGTTTACACTGTGCATAACTTACCATATGTGCCAGGCATTGACTAGTAAAAGTTTGAAACTTTTACTAGAAATCTATAGGACTAGGGTTTTTGCTTTGGTAGGTAGAGCAGCATTTGTCATCCTCTGTTAGGGTCTGAGTAAATACCTTGTAGTCAAGAACCAATGAGTCTACAATAAAGCATAAAAATATTCTACTAAAAGAGAAACATACAATCTCTAAGTAGTTTCGGTCTTGATACTAAACGAATACAGGCCTATGTATAGAAATATGGTTTTAAAGTTTCTTGAAATTGAACACTTGCATATTTATCTGTATTTTACAGGTGAGGACAACATGCTCAGTGAACTTATTTGACCAAGATTACACAGTTAAAAGTGCAGAAGCTGGGGTCTAAATGCAGGCACTTTGATGTCACAGGCCACACTCTTGGACACAATGATACTTCACTCATGAGGGTTTCTGGGAGAACTAACTGAGCTCACATGAGTAGAAAGTATGAAAAGCAGGGCAGAGAACCTCGTGAATGCTATTTTAGCATTAATTATTATCACGATTTTCTGCATCCTAAGCAGTTACTGTGATTTATAATTCTAAGGGTTGATGGTGCAGTGATGCATTCAGTTCACTAAAGCAGCGCTCCCAACATCTCTAGGGGAGGCTCACCGCAGTGTCATCATCTTTCTAAGCCACGTGGGAGTTAATCATGTAGCTGTGACAGGCTCTAATGACTCTGGGCTGTGACCAATGGGGCTCTGCCCAGCTTCCCCTGGAGTTGAGAGCACATGTTGTGGACTGAATATTTGTGTCCCCCAAGTTCATATGTTAAGTTTTAACTCTCAATGTGAAACGGAGGCTCTAAGGAAGTAAATAAAGTTAAACACACTCATAAATATGGTCCCTGAATTGATAGAATTAGTATCCTTATCTTAGCTTGTTTTCTGTTGCCAAAAACCTCAATATTCTCTCTAATCAAGTCACTGTTTGATCTAGTATCTGGTAAAAGTTTAATTTAGTGAAGATTTTTTTTGTTGCTTTTGTTTTTGTAGTGCTGGGGTTCAGACCCAGGGCTTTGTATAGGCAAGCACTCTACCCCTGAGCTACACCCCCATGTTTCAGTTAACCAATTTTGAGTACTTATTACTTGCTACTGCACTAAGCACCACAAGTGTGTAATCACTTTTTAATTTAGAAAACTATCGAAAGGAACAAATGAAGATGGAAAATGTATCTGCTGTTATTATTAGTAAGAAATAAATATTTATTAATATATGAACATTTTAATATAGGTCAGATGATTTTCCATGTATTTTGCCAATTAATTATAATTATAGCCCTGTTAAGAAGGAACCATTAAACTGCATGTACATGGCAGCAGAAGTTTAGAAAACTGATTGTTAAGTTAAAGTCATATAGCTGGTAACGGAGTGGAGTTTCCAAGGTGGACATGTCTGATCCCATGCCACAGGGGCCATTCCATGTGCTTAGAAGTGTAATACAGTATTTGTATTTATAGCAGTTTCAAAGTCCTCAAAAGCAGCTTTCTAACTGAGGGGGATGAACTCTTAAAATTAAAGTGGAGTGTTCTCTCAGAGGAATGTGAGTTTCTTTTTAAAAATTTTTCAGAGCCACATTATATTACTATTTATAGCTGCATAATGGCCTAAGGGTCTCTTGTAAACCTTTCTCAGAGAAATGCCTTTTCAGAACATTTTCTCACCCAGCACCCAGAAGTTGTGTAAATGCCTCTACATGAAGTCTTTGAGTAGGGAATAGTGACAAATTCCTGGGCAGGGAAGAGACTGATCAGTTTTTTGCAGTTCATGAACTTCGATTCCATCAGACAATTTTTCTCCCACACTATTCTGATACAAAAAATTCTAACAGTTATAGGATATTAAAATTTTAGATTCTTTGTCCCTTCTGTCAGACTCAAGGAGACTACATGTAACAATATCAACAGTATTATTAATAACTAACGTATATCTGAACACATGTTGTGGGCAGCCCGGTCCGGTGCTTTGTGATAGGGCTACCTCATTTAAGTTTTCACGAGTTTATGAGGTAGGAATTGGGGCTTGGCAGGATCAATAAGAACATTTGCTTTTCCCTAAGCTTGTAACCAATTTAAAGGTAAGACACCTGTCAAATAGATGAAGATTAAAATGCTAATTTAAATGCTAATAATACTGACAATTAGGAAATGAGGTGTAGAATTACCAACAAAATAGGGATGCGATACTTGGCCCATGTAAAAGATAGACTCCCCTAGGTTGCAGTTGATGGCAGCCTTTAAACAACCACTAATCCCTCTGGAAGAAGCAATTGCTGAGAGGACAAGTACTATATTTACAGGCAGATCTAGCAGGAAACAAAAAGGAGAGAAAGATTAATGTGAGGATGTGCATGTGCTTCTGCCAGTGAATCAGATCTTCTTGAGGAAAGGAAAAAGGTGGAGAAATCAGCTCTGCTGCAGTATTTCCCACACAGCATCATAGGAAAGGAAGTCTCTGTCCCCAGCTGTAAGTACCTAATCTACAGATTAGGAAACTGATGCACTGAAATACTAAATAAACGAGCTCACTAGTGTAGAGAAATACAAATACAAATAAGGTCACTGTGTAAGTCTGTGGTAGAGTCTAGATTTAATAAAGCAGGCTAGAACACATGTAGGCAATAGAAAATTTAGAAAGGAAGACAGATGCAAGAGGAATTCAAGGAAATGATGAGGGCCGGGGATTTAGCTCAGCTGTATAGCACCTGCTTGGCAAGCATGAGGTTATGAGTTTGATCCCCAGTAGAAAAATAAAAATAAAAAATAAAAAATGAGAGTTGGAATTTCTTGTTATGGGATTTGGAAAGCTATCAGAATGACTCAATGTTTTCTAATATCTCTAGCTCAATCTAATAAAAATATTTCCAAGCATGAATAGTCATTTTTGGACATGTGAATTCCAAGTACTCTATAGTCTAATGAAAATTTGAATCTGTAATTGGGGAGAATGATCAGAAGTAGAGATTATGATTTTAGACTTACTTATTCAGAGGTGATAGCTGGCTGAAGTGTTTGAGTCTGAGCACAGAAAGTGGAGAGCTGTTACAGAATGAGTTACACTAATGAGTTTTTGAAATGTTGGGAGATGTAGTCAGGAGTTGTGAGAACACTTAGAATCAGGACACAGAATTTATAACATTATTTTATGATGGTCACCCAGAGTTAACACAAGAAAATGCAGGAAATCTATCCACAACACCAAAGACATAGAATATTTAGCCAAGGGCCTGAATCCCACAGCAATGTCCCGCATGAGTCCAGATAAAGACCCACAGCTCATGACAGTGCCTCCCACAAGTTCAGCTGGAGATCTAGAGCCCACAAGAAGGACTCAATGCCAGTATCTTTCATGGATCCGTGCTGGGAAGGCCCAAAGGTCAGCAGTGGAAGCTAGGAAGTCTATGCCAGCAGAGTGAAGGAGTTGTGCTGGTAGGTTGAAGGTTCTACACTGGAGCCGATAAGTCATGCTTATAATAAAGACCAGGGCTGCCCTGAAAAGCACCACAGCCATCATCAGCAACATGAAGGTCCAGAGCTTCTCCAATGATAAGCACAGACAAGTACATGCCAGAAAGCCAGCATGATGAGTTTATCCTGGAGATTAAGCGGCACACATCTTCCCCTCCAGAGCCAGGAAATGATGCTCAATGTAAGGACCAGAGCTCCCCCAAAGTGAACTACAGCCACTCTCACCAACAAAGTCCTGAGCTCTTCTGATGACAGTGGTTGAACTCACATTGGGGAAGCTAGTCATGACGAGCTCCTCCAGGAGACCCAACAGCTCAAACAGCAACACTTAGAGAAACCCACAACACCTAGCTTCTCCTTTTCCATGTCTCTTTTATGCTGGTAACTTTCCTCAGGTGGAACATCTACACTCAGCACTATGCTGATTTAATTCAGCTGTCGTTAAGTTGACCACCCGTTTTTAATCCATAACAGGAGGCCCAAGTTTGTAACCTTCAGAGACTGGATCTAGTTTAAAGACAAGGTCTAGCATGGCTCACGACTTGCCCATGGTCCTAGTCAGTGCTGACAAATCTGTGGATGACATTGGTGTGCAGGTACTCCCATTAGCCCTCCTAGGTTCACTGGTCATCCCATTTCTACCTTTTCATTGCTCAGGGAAGCTGGATTCCCACTTTGTGCAGCACCCTTTCGCCTTACCCCCAGGACTCTAAAATAAGATGTGTGATGTTAGCTGGTGCGTTATTTCCTTGGCCCTTATGCCTTGGATCCTCTCACCTGGTTGCCTCCTTTAACCACAACTTCATTTAGAGCAACTCTCCAGGGTTCTCCCAAATGCTTTCTCCACTTGCTTTCTTGCCTAGCTAGGATATTACTATCCCCCATGGGCTTCAGATCCCTTTATAACAAATTAGCTCTGCTTGTACCTTTGTCTCTGTTGAAGTCTCTGCTGTTTCCTAGTTCCTACTGGACCTTGAATAATAACTACTATTGCTGACTAATGGCATAGTTTAAAATGTGTAGATTGTGTTGTCCGTATGCAAAAATGTTGGGGACTAGTTCCAAAGCCTTTGTTAAGTGTTCTTCAGATTTCTGTATCTCAAACTAAAAGGAGGTAGAATGAGT